GGGCTCACTCTGTTGCCAGGGCATGAGGGCAGTGGCATCATCATAGCTCACTGCAAGCTCAAACTCCTGGGCTCCAGTCATCCTCCTGCCTCAGCCTCCCAGGTAGCTAGGACTACAGGTGCACACAACACCTGGCAAATTTTTTTACTTTTTATATTTTATGGAGATAAAAATCTCAAACTCCTGGCCTCAAGCAATCCTCTGGCCTCAACCTCCCAAAGTGCTAGGATTACAGGCATGAGCCACTGTGCCTGGCCCCTGTTTCCCTTTGTGATGTCCATGAGCATCTACCCTCTGAGCCTTCCTGACACCCCAGTGTCTGTGGCATCAGAGCTGACCCTTGAGTGGTAGTGAGGCTGTCATTTCGGCACAGCATCACTAGGCTACTGCGGAGGGGCTCATAAAATTGTGTAATTTTTTAAAAAATCAGCGATACTTAACTGTAAACATAATCTTTAAATTATCACCAAATTTATGTAATACTTGCTAGTAGACTAAATGAATTTGAACTCAATATTTCAACTTAATATTGTGTATGTATTTTTTTCTAGAAATGAAAGATCATTTATATGCAATTATAAAGAACACTGGTTTACAGTTAGAAAATTAGGAAAACAGGTAATATTTCTCTTCCTTCCCTGTCTTTTTTCTCATTCTGCACTCCAGTTAAAACTAAAATGTAAGGGATTGATGCCTTTGAAAGAGAGAACTGACCATTAATGTCCGTGTGGCATGGTTTCAATTTTGGTAGATAGAAATTTGCTATTTTAAAAGGTAATATCAGTTTCTCTTATAGATTTATTTGTGATAACCATATACAATTAAACTGTATCATAAGAAAAATTCTGTATTTAAGACTATGCAAATATGGTTACTTTTAAATGGGTTTTCATCTGATGAATATGTTCTGTCAGTTAATTATTATTAGGTCATTAAATATGAAATGTCTGATTTCGCTTCACAGGTTTAGTTTATTATATCTCAAACAAAAAGCAGTACAATTTATCAAAGTATGCGCCTGAGCTATCAACACTGTTTTGCCTTTCTTTGCTGTCACGACATAAAGGCAAACCATTTCTATACCATATTGTTACGTGTGGTGAAAAGAGGATTCTTTTTGACAATTGCAAGCGTTTGGCTCTTAACGGTAGCTTGCTTATGCCAGCAGCAAAATAGCCTAGAGAACAAGTGACGATGAAATTGTCAAAGGCGTTTTCCACAGCTTGTTGAAAATTGAATATTTTTCCTTGTAAGAAGTGGACCAAAGCCTGCAAGAAGTGGTAGTTGGTTCAAAGTCTGGTGAATATGGTGGATGACAGAGAGTTTCCAAGTCCAGCTTCTGTAGTTTGAGCAACATTGTGCGATGTATGGTCAAACATTGTCTTGCAAGAGGATTGGCCTGTCTTTATTGACCAATCCTGGCTGCTTAATTTCAAGTATCCCCATCATTTCGTCCAATTGGTTGCAGTAGACATCCACTGTAACCGATTGACCAGGTTTCATGAAGCTGTAGCAGATAATACCAGTGCTGGACCACCAAACAGACACCATTAGCTTTTTTTGATGAATATTCAGTTTGGGACTGTGTTTTGGCACTTCATCTTTATCCAACCACGAGCCAAACGCTTGCAATTGTCAAAAAGAATCCTTTTTTCATCACATGTAACAATATGGTACAGAAATGGTTTGCCTTTATGTCGTGACAGCAAAGAAAGGCAAGCTTTGAGATGATTTCTCTTCTGATGCTTGTTTAATTCATGCAGTCCCTGTCTATCCAGCTTCTTTACCTTGTCAATTTGTTTCAAATGGTCCAATATTGTTGGAATAGTAACATCAAACCTTGCTGCTAATTCCCCTGTAGGTTGACATGGATGTGCTTCCACTACAGCTTTCAGCTCATCATTATCCACCTTGGTCTCAGGTCACCCACGTGGCTCATTTTCAAGATTAAAATCACCAGGAATGGAACTTTTTAAACTGTCAATATACCGTGCGTTCATTAGCCACATTCTTCCCAAACACTTCATTGATATTTCGAGCTGTCTGCATTGCATTGGTTCTAGAACAGAACTCATATTCAAAAATAACATGAATTTGTTGTTGCCCCGGCTAGAGTGCCATGGCATCAGCCTAGCTCATGGCAACCTCAAACTCCCGGGCTCAATCTGTCCTCCTGCCTCAGCCTCCTGAGTAGCTGGGACTATAGGCGTTCACCACAACACCTGGCTAATATTTTGTTTTTATTTTTAGTTACCCAGCTAATTTTTTCTATTTTTAATGGAGAAGATGGGATTTCGCTCTTGCTCAGGCTGGTCTTGAGCTCCTCCTGACCTCAAGTGATCCTCCTGCCTTGGCCTCCCAGAGTGCTAGGATTATAGGCATGAGGCACTGCATCTGGCCATAACACAAATTTTTTTCTTATCCATGGTTTCACAAAGATTGCTCTAAAAAAAAATTTGAAAGATAATCACAAGCCAAAACATGCGTTTGAAAGAATGAGGATGTGCCTTCACAATAATAAAGAAAGGAAGTGC